ATTCCGAGCACAAGCAAGTGGTCACAAGACCAGTTCACATGCAGTTTGATAATATAGCAAGAGGTACAGTGATCACAACCTAGCAAGTGAAAGCATGCAGGTATATATATAGGGATCACAGTACAAGCAAAGTCAAGAAGTAAGCAAGTGAGGTCCAGTAGGCACAAGGCCTAGAAGAGTACAGAAACGCTGATGGTCACAAGGCTGAAGCGCCTTGGTGAACACGTCAGCAGTGTTGGCCTGAGTGGCCACGTAACGCAGACAAAGCTGACCACGCTGCTGCAGCTCTCGAGCCAGAAAGTACCGCAGAGCGATATGCTTCGTTCTGTGCTCCAGTCTGTGCTCCTCACACAAGGCAATGGCAGCCTTGTTGTCGACGTACAGCACTGGAGGAGAACGAGGCCGCTCTCCCAAGTCGGTCAGCAGGTAGGTGAGCCAGCGTAGCTCCTGGGCTGCCATGGCTGTGGCGTAGATCTCAGCCTCACAACTGGAGCTGAGAACTGAAGAAGAACGTGTAGAACGCCAAGAAACTGAACCAGAGCCAAGGCTGAAGGTGTAACCCTGAGACGACCGCTGAGTGGCCTGGTCGTCCGCCCAAGAAGCGTCTGAGTGCCCAGTGAGAACAACTCGGTCTCGCCCTCCAAGCACTAGCCCCATGCCCGACGTACTGCACAAGTAGCGCAACACCCTCTTAGCGGCATCCATGTGCTCCTTCCGGTGACGGCCAGGAGCAACATAGCGTGCAAGGATGCTAAGAGGGTATGCAAGGTCAGGTCGAGTGCAGGTCATCAGGTACATGAGGCAGCCCACAAGCTCTGGATATGGGCCACTCGGCTCTACGGACTCATCCGAAGGCAGAGCTGAGAGCGAGTGACCGGTAGGCAGAGGAGTGGATTGAGGCGAGGAGTACGTGAAGCCGAAGCGCTGAAGGACCTGCTGCACCATGTGTGACTGAGTCAAGGTAATGGTGCGCCGTGCTCTGTCCCGGGTGATCCGCAAGCCAAGATAGCTTGTCAGTTCACCCAGGTCTGTGCACGTGTGTCTCTTTTGCAGCTCCGACTTCACGTGGGCGAGAGCCTCAGTGTCAGCAGTGGCAAAGACCAAGTCGTCGACGTACACGAGGATGTAGAACGGCGGCAGTGAAGTGTCTGTGCGCAGAAACAGTGACGGGTCAGCAGTAGAAGGCGCGAACCCAAGTGCCGCAAGTGTCGTCCTCAGTGTGTCGTGCCACTCACGTGGTGCCTGGCGGAGACCGTAGACCGGCCGCCGGAGGCTCCACTGGGTACCAGGAGGAAACGACCCAGTGAAGCCAGGAGGGCGGCGCAGCCAGATCTCCTCGTGCAGGCTACCCTGCAAGAAAGCAGTGCTGAAGTCAAGAGAGTGAAGCTCGTAGTCGCGCTGAGCGGCTATGTGCAGCAGCACCCGAAGAGTGGTCATCTTCGGGGTGGGGGAGAAGGTCTGGAAGAAGTCGACTCCCTCTCGCTGACTGAAGCCTCGAGCCACATAACGCGCCTTGAAGACAGGCGGAGAACCCGGCGGACGCTTCACCCTGAAAATCCACATGCCACTGACGATGTTCGCCCCTGGTGGGGGAATTGCGTCCACGTAGGTGCCTGTGGACTTCCAGGAAGCCATCTCTGCGTCCATGGCTGTCTGCCACTGAGAGGAGTAGGGACCCTCTATCGCCTCTGCGTAAGAGCGCGGGGTCGAGATGTCTGGTGCATCCGGGTCTCCCTCAGGGGCAACTAGCATGGACACGAGATGAGGCAAAGCAGCAGCAAAGCACTGGAACTCCTCTTGCCTGTCCTCAAGGACGTCCGTGCCAAGAGCACACTCACCCCGGACGGACGGAGGACAGACAGACTCAGACTCAGCAACCAGGCTAGCGGCGTAGTCTAGACGACAAGCGGCAGCAAAGTCAACTAACTCAGCGACAAGAGCAGACGCAGCAGAGGACTCAAAGGTAGGGTCAGTGACAACAGTGGCGAGGAGACGCGTGACAGTAGGACGGGCAGCACGAAGGGAGTCAGACTCCGGGTCAGCAAGAGTAGGAAGAGAGGACGCAGGAGGAGACGGCAGAGGGACACGCTGCGGAGCAGTGGAGGGACGCAGAGTCATGTAGTGAGTGCCAGGGACAGGAGGAGGACGCTCACGCGGGACACGACGACCAGTGCGAGCAGCACGAACAGGCGACGCAGGACGAGACTCAGGCTCACGACGCTCCGTAAGACCTCCTGTGGGACCAGTGTAAGGAGAAGGACCAGGGAGCGGCGAGGCAGGCGGTAACTGTGACTGTGACTGGACAGGCGGAGGACACTCTAAGGAGGGAGCAGGACAAGGAGGAGGAGGCTGACCAAGAACCTGCTGAAGGAGCGGAACGAAGTACGGCCAGGGTCGCGCAGCGACTCCAGAACCAGTAGAGACACCACCAGCACCCGCAGCAGCTCCAGCAGCGCCAGCTCCAGGGTCCTCAGCACCAGAAGTAGCCCCAACTCCAGGGTCCGCAGCACCAGCAGCAGCTCCAGCGTCAGGGTCCGCAGCACCAGCAGCAGCTCCAACTCCCGGGTCCTCAGTACCAGCAGCAGCTCCAACTCCAAGGTCCGCAGCACCAGCAGCAGCTCCAACTCCAGGGTCCTCAGGACGAGCAGTAGCTCCAACTCCAGGGTCCGCAGCACCAGCAGCAGCTCCAACTCCAGGGTCCGCAGCACCAGCAGCACCGGGAGAGCCTCCAGCACCAGCAGTAGCACCTACAGCACCTCCAGCACCAGGGTCCGCGACACCAGGCGCGCCACTCCGGAGAGTGCAGCGCCGCTCGTACCACTCACGGATCCGCTCAAGAGAGGGCAGCTCCCGCTGAGGAGGGGAGGCACCAGCACCAGTCCCACGAGTACGCCTGGCTCCAGAGGCACCGATCCTGAGGCTGCAGTACTGTGAGTACCACTCACGCAGCTGCTCCGAGGAGAGAGCTCCTCCAGGTGTAGGACTCCCAGGCTCAGCACCCCCAGACTCAGAACCCCCAGACTCCGGACTCCGCGGCTCAGCACCCCCAGGCTCAGCACCCCCAGGCTCAGTACCCTCAGGCTCAGCACTCCTAGGCTCAGCACCCCCAGACTTCGCACCCCCAGGCTTCGCACCCGCAGCAAGGCTCCGCACCCCCAGGCTCAGCACCCCCAGGCTCCGCACCCCCAGGCTCCGCACCCCCAGGCTCCGCACCCGCAGCAGGACGAGAGTCAACAGCTACCTCAACAGGCTCAACCGGGTCTACCTGGGACACACCTGAGGGAGCGGCACCCTGAGGGGGGAGAGGGTCTAGTACAGCAGCACCAGGCGTGAGTAAGAGAGGCGGGGGGGGGAGCGGGGCAGTGCGGTAGGGGAAGAGGCGGTAGTAGGGGACGGACTCGTCAAAAGTGACGTCCTGAGAGGCCAGGACCCGGCGCGAGGTGACGTGGTAAAACTGCCAACCAGACGCGTCAGGGACAAAGCCAAGGAAGACACAGGGAACAGCGCGGGAGGAGAGCTTGTCCGCGGACGTATCGCGGACAAAAGCTCGAGATTCCCAGACCCGGAAACGCGACGCATCGCCAACCTCCCCCGTCCACAGCAGTGTGGAAGCGAGGTCTCCGGCAAGGAGACACGGGGCCAGAGGTTGAGCTGATGCGCAGCGTACCGGACCGCAAACGGCCACAGAAAGTGGGGGGCAGCCGCATGGATCAAGGAGGTACGGGCGACCTCCATGACTAGGCCAATGCGGCGCTCCGCAACCCCATTCTGCTGTGGAGAGGCCGGAAGCGTGAACGACTGCTCAATGCCGTGCTCAGCACAGTAGGCTGCCAAGAGGTCGGAGGAGAACTCACCACCTCTGTCAGAGTGCAAGCGTAGGACAGGAAAGTCCGAGTGAAAACGCTCGCGAAGCTGGAGACGAGCTCTGCGGATCCAAGGGATCAAAACATCAGGGACCTCACCCTTGGTGCGCAAGGGGAAGACCGTGGTGTAGCGTGAGTAGTCGTCAACAACTATCAGGAAGTACCTCTCCTGACCCTGACCACGGACGCGGGCTGGGCCCCACACGTCCATGTGGAGCGTCTGCAAGGGAGCAGTCGTCGGGGGAAACGAGGAGGAGTGAGGAGCGACGCGCTGCCGCCCCTCAACACAGGGAAGACAGGGAGGAGCAGGCGAGGGTGGGAGGGGAGGGAGGACCCTGGGAAGACCAGAGACAAGGTACCGGGAGTGCATGGCACGAAGGCGCTGCACAGACGGGTGGCCAAGGCGGTGGTGCCAGAGGACAGTCTCGTGCGCCAGAGAGCGACACGAGCAGGGGGCCGACAGCTGACCTGACGCAGACGCAGACGCAGACGCAGCGACCTGAGGGGACTCAGTGGTCAGTGTGTACAGGTCCGACCCCGGCTGCCGAGTGAAGGTAGCCAAGTGGCGGCCCGTACGAGCACACGTGCAGTGTGTCACGCGCTCGTAGGCAGGGGTGAACTGGTGAACACCCCCGTCCTGGAGCGCACACCCTGCCACCAGGTTCGTAGAGAACGAGGGGAGGTGGAGACCTGACAGTGTGCCTGACGGGACCGCAGGACAGGGAAGGACAGTGGAGGAGGTCGCAACGACCGGGCCCCCAGAGGGGTCAGCGAGGGAGACAGCAACTGGCCGAGCAAGCGGCTCAAGGACAGTGCGGTCACGAAAGAAGGAGCGAGAAGCACCTGAGTCCAGTGTGAAGGTGTGTAGTGCCTCAGTCGACTCAGGACCAGGGGGGGCTGACGCACAAGCACCTAGAGCAGCAGCCTCACCAGCACCTGGGGTAGCAGACACGCGAGTACCTGAAGCGGCAGACGCACTGGCACCTAGAGCGGCAGCCGTACTGGTCCTAATGCCCGGGTCGGGCGGAACACACAGGTACTCAGCACCCTCTCCACTAGTAGACATCACATACATGGCAGTGAGAATAGCATCAAAGTCTAGAGCATAGATATCAATCCCCTTCTTCGGAGATCAACTCAGCGGGCCTGAGGGAACTGAACACGCCAAGCGTCGTTGAGGCGAGCGAAGCAGCGCTGCGTGGCGTGCGGTCCCCCACACGGCTGACCAGTGCGGTCACCAGTGCGAATGACGTACGAGCAGCTAAAGCCACCCCCCCCCCCCCCCCCCCCCCCGTGCTGAGAGTACCACTCACGGACCTCCTGGGGCGACGGAGTGTGCTGCTGGCTCTGGCCACCGCCAGCGCCTCCACGACCACCACCTCCGCCTCCACCTCCTCGACCACCCCAGCCCCTGCCGCCGCCGCGTCCAACGCCACCCCCACCACCGCCCCCGCCCCTGCCACCTCCCCCGCCGCTGCCGCCACCACCCCCACCGCTGCCACTCGCCCCTCCAGCCCCGCCACCACCCCCACCGCCGCCACCGCCCCCACCACCGCCTCCCCCGCCGTCACCTCCGCCTCCCTTGCCCCCTTTGCCCTTGCCGCTGCGGCGTCCGCTCGAAGCAGTCGCGACCTTCTCAGCACCAAGGAGGTCGACAGCAGCAGCAGAGGCGACAGAGGGAAGAAGGGGGGAAGGAGAACACCCCTCAAAGAACGGGGTGCGGGGGTCGCCACGAGAGGCACCTACAGCGACTATGCTAGCCTCAGCTGCAAGTAGTTCCTTCTCGAGGAGGGCAATGGTGAGCTCAGTAGGGCAGCGAGCTAGGAAGGAATCCCTGACTGCACGCAGAGAGTCAGGGAGGCGGGTGACTAGGTGGTAGAGAGTGAGCCAGAGCGGGGGGGGGTTCTTGGCAAGGAACTCATCAGGCATAGCGGCGCGGAAGCGAGCCTCACTAGTGCGGAGGTGCGTGATGAGGTCAGCGACTGTGTGGAAAGAGGACAGGTCGGGGAACAGGTAGGGAAGCGAGAGACGGCCTAGTGCGGCAGAGGCAGGTGAGGAGTAGCGGGCAACGACAGCAGTGTACAGTGCCTGCGCAGTCTTGTGCTGGCCAAAGTGCTCGCGTTCATCTATCGGCAGGGAGTTGCGAATAGCAAAGCGAGCGTGAGCGTCACGAGTCTGCCACTGTGAGCGGGTAGAGCTGTCAGCAGTAGTAGCAGGTGCAGTGGCATGGCCTAGGGCGTGATCGTACAGTGAGATGTCCTCCTTGGCAGTGAGCTGTAGGAAGAGGTGCAGGTCATCTAGCCAGGTGTCAAACTTCACTAGGCGGCCCTCAGCATCGAAAGCTAGCACAGGTGGGCTAGCCATAGGAGCAGTAGGAGCAGCAGTAGCAGTAGCAGTGGGAGCACCCTAGAAGCCGTAAGCAGTGTGAGACAGGTAGGGCGGCTCAGTCCAGAGGGGCTGCTCAGTACGGGCGGCGCGGCTCGGTTCAGGTAGGGCGGCGCGGCTAGGACTGGGCGGTTCGGTTCGAGCGGCTCGGTCCTGGAGGGGCCGTGGCGGTCGCACGTGGGGCGGCTCGGTTCTGGTGGGGCCGACGGGGCCTCTAAGGGGCTGCGACGGGGCCGTAAGGGGCCTCTAGGGGTGAGCGCGGGGCCGACGGGGCCGTTAAGGGGCGGCGACGGGGCCTTAAGGGGCCTCTAGGGAGGCGACAGCGCGCGGGGCCGACGGGGCCTCTAAGGGGCTGCGACGGGGCCGTAAGGGGCCTCTAGGGGCGAGCGCGGGGCCGTAAGGGGCCTCTAGGGGGCGAACGCGGGGCCGACGGGGCCGCTAAGGGGCGGCGCGGGAAGGCGACGAGGCCGTAAGGGGCGGCGCGCGGGTCGCTAAGGGGCGGGTCGCGGGGCCTTAGGGGGCCGTGAAACACGAGGCGCACTAGGGCGCAGGTAGGTAGGTAGGTAGGCAGTAGCGGTGGGCCCTAAAAAAAAACGGTCCTAGCGAAGGACCTGCTCTGAAACCATGTCAGAATGAACGGACAGGAATGAATGAACTAGCAGTGAAATGAGTACAAGTACCTAACCCTAGAATTGTGTACCCCCTAAAGGCTAACCCACTGTAGCCTAAACAACCACAACATATATAATGTTTGACATTTTTAGCACAATGTCTTTGTACATTCAGGTAGTTCAACCCATTTCCTTGCCATAGGAGCTGGTTTGAGCTTCTTTGCACAACTATGCAGCACGTGACGCTTGTTTGTGCGTTTGATGACATGAAACTGTGCAAGGATAGGCCAGTACGTAACATGTCACCGTTTCAACGTTTGGTTGTTTTTATTTTGCACTATTTCTTCACTCTTTAAGTTAATTCAATCAGTTCCCTTACCATAGGAACTGGTTTGAGCTCGTTCGCACAACTACGAAGCACGTGACGCTTTTTTGTGTGTTCGATGGCCTGAAACAGCTCAGTGATAGGCCAGTACGCAACACGTCACCATTTCAACATTTGGTTGATTTATTTAGCACCATTTCTTCACACATTCGGATATTTCAATCTATTCCCTTGCCATAGGAACTGATTTGAGCTTATTCGCACAACTACCCAGCCCGTGACGCTTTTTTATGCGTGGGTTGGGGCGGAACGGTGCAAGGATAGGCCTGTTCACAACTTGTCGCTTCATTCAACGCTTCAAGCATCTTTTTATGGACTTGAAAATTCTAGGGGGGTCTATAATGAGTGGCATGAAGGAACCCTATCATTTTCAGAGGTTTAGGACTAGAATTGGTTCGTGGCGAGAATTAGAATCCATAAGCAGGCAAATCTGCTCCATAATCAAGCTTCCCATCCAAAACGTTGCATGAAAAAACTATCTAGCATAATTGGAGTGACTGAAAATGGTAGGGAGTGCCATGGGACTCTCCTATCATTTTCAGAGATTTATGGCAAGGTTTGATTAGTCGTTTGCACTAAAAATACAATAACACGCAATACTGCACAAGTTTCTGACTTTAATTCCATAACATTGCATGGAAAACCTATCTAGACTTATTGGATTGACCGAAAAAATGTTAGGCGGATCTAGAAGTAGCGTCATGAAACTCCCCTATCCTTTTCATAGCTTTATGACAAGGTTTGGCTTGTGGTTGGAACTAGAATCCAAAAGCAGACAAATCTGCTGCATAATCTGGCTTCCGTTCCATAACATTGCTTGGAAAACCCATCTAGCCTTCATGGATGGACCTGAAAATGGGGTGTGAAATTAGTGTCATGAGACTCCCGTATCATTTTCATAGCTTTATGACAAGGTTTGGCTTGTGGCGAGAACTAAAATTTAAGCAGGCAAATCTGCTGCATAATCTGGCTTCCCTTCCATAATATTGCTTGGGAAACCCATCTAGTCTTCATGGATTGACCTAAAAATGATAGGGGGGTGTGAAATTAGTGTCATGATACTCCCTTATCATTTTCATAGCTCTATGACAAGATTTGGCTTGTGGCGGGAACTAGAATCCAAAAGCAGGCAAACCTGCTGCATAATCTGGCTTCCCTTCCATAACATTGCATGGAAAACCCATCTAGCCATCATGGATTAACCTGGAAATGATCGAGGGGTGTGAAATTAGTGTCATAAGACTCCCCTATCATTTTTAGAGATTTATGACACGGTTTGGCTTGTGGCGAGAACTCAAATCCGAAAGAAGACAAATCTGGTGCATCATCTGGCTTCCCATCCATAACATTGCTTGGAAAACCCATCTATTCTTCATGGATTTACCTAAAAAATATAAAGGGGTGTGAAATTAGTGTCATGAGACTCCCCGATAATTTTCATACATTTATGACAAGGTTTGGCTTGTTGCGGGAACTAGAATCCAAAAGCAGACAAACCTGCTGCATAATCTGGCTTCCCTTACATAACATTGCATGGAAAACCTATCTAACCTTCATGGATTGACCTGAAAATGATAGGGGGGTGTGAAATTAGTGTCATGAGACTACCCTATTATTTTCAGTGCTTTATGACCATGTTTGGCTTGTGGCACGAACTAGAATCCAAAAGCAAACAAATCTGCTACATAATCTGACTTCCCTTCCACAACATTGCATGGGAAACACATCAAGTCTTCATGGATTGACGTGAAAATGGTAAGGGGGTCAGGAAGTCGTATTAGCGTTTTAACATGAATACTAGGTATCGGCCACCACGACAGAAACCAATACCCTACACTTATCTCTGCGTTATGGATTGAGCTACAAATTGGTAGGGGATGAAAAAATAGTGTCAAAAGGCTCCCCTCCAAATATGAGAGCATTTGGACAAGAAAATATTGGCACAAGACCCCCAGACTCAGCACCAGCAAGCTCAGCACCCCCAGACGCAGCACCCCTAGGCTCAGCACCCCCAGGCTCCGCACCCCCAGGCCCAGCACCCCCAGGCTCTGCACCCCCAGGCTCAGCACCCCCAAGCTCCGCACGCTCAGGCTCAATACCCCCAGACCCAGCACCCCGAGCAGCACCCCGAGCAGCACCACCCCCAGCAGCACCAGAGTCACTAGTGACCTCGACAGGCTCAGCCAAGGGAAGTGGGTCTACCTGAGAGACACCTGAAGGAGCAGGACCCTGAGGGGGGAGGGGGTCTACCGGAGGGGGACCTGGAGCGAGGAAGAGCGGCGGAGGGGGGAGAGGGGCAGTGCGGTAGGGGAAGAGACGGTAAAAGGGAACCGACTCGTCAAACGTGACGTCCTGAGAGGCGAAGACCCGGCGCGAGGTGGGATGGTAAAACTGCCAGCCAGGCGCGTCAGGGGGAAAGCCAAGGAAGACGCAGGGGACGGCGCGAGAGGAGAGCTTGTTCGCGGTGGTATCGCGGACAAAGGCATTAGAACCCCAGACCCGGAACCGCGACGCATCGCCAACCTCCCCCGTCCAATGCAGTGTGGGCGAGGTCTCCGGCAAGGAGACACGGGGCTAGAGGTTGAGCTGATGCGCGGCGTACCGGACCGCAAACAGCCACAGAAAATGGGGAGCAGCCGCATGGATCATGGAGGTATGAGCGACCTCCATGACTAAGCCAATGCGACGCTCAGCAATCCCATTCTGCTGCGGGGAGGCCGGAAGCGTGAACGACTGGAGGATGCCCTCCCCCTGACAAAAGTCCCTCAAGAGGTCGGAGAAAAACCCGCCACCTCTGTCAGAGTGCAGACACATGACAAGAAGGTCCGTGCGGAACCGCTCGCGCAGCTGGAGACGAACAGCTCGGATCCAAGGGATCAAGACATCAGGGACCTCCCCCTTGCTACGCAAGGGGAAGACCGTGGTGTAACGCGAGTAGTCGTCGACAACCAGCAGAAAGTACCGCTCGCGGCCCTGTCCCTGGACGCGGGCTGGGCCCCACACGTCCATGTGGAGAGTCTGCAGGGGAGCAGTCGTCGGGGGAAACGAGGAGGAGTGAGGAGCGGCGCGCTGCCGCCCCTCGACGCAAGGAATGCAGGGCGGGGCAGGCGAGGGTGGGAGGGAAGGCAGAGACCTGGGAAGACCAGAGACCAGGACGCGAGAATGCATGCCACGGAGGCGTGGTAGGGAGGGGTGACCAAGGCGGTGGTGCCAAAGGAGGGTCTGTTGTGACAGGCGGCGACACTCACAGGAGGCTGCTACCTGACCTGACGCAGTCACCTGAGCAGACGCAGCGACCTGAGGCGGCGCAGTAGTCAGTGTGTACAGGCTCGACCCAGGCCGACGGGTGAACGTGGCCAGGTGACGGCCAGTCCGGGAGCACGTGCAGATCGCCACACGCTGCAGTCCCGGGGTAAATGTATCAACCGCGGCGTCCTGAAGGACGGCGTTACTCACCAAGTTCGTAGAGAACGAGGGGAGGTGGAGACCTGACAGTGAGCCAGACGGAACCGCCGGACACGAGAGCTCAGTGGAGGAACGTGCAAGAACTGGGCCCCCAGAGGGGTCAGCCAGGGAAACTGCAACGGGTCTAGTGAGTGGTGTGACTGTGGTACTGTCGCGAAAGAAACAGCGAGAAGCACCAGAGTCAAGTGTAAAGGTGTGCAAGGCCTCAGCATGCGTAGTACCAGAGAGAGCAACACCTAGAGCAGCTGCCATAAAGTTATAGCACAGAGGGTAGTACATCGTCTCACGTGGCTTCAAGGCTTTTAACACGGTTGAACAAGCATCTGTTAGACAGATAAGAAGACACTATCATATGGACAATTTTTTACAATTTCAGTTTCACAGTCATACCAAGCCGAATCTAGTACTTGGTCCAGCGACCCTTGGCCTTGAGCACAGCCCGCACACGCCTAGGCATGCTGTCGATCAGCTCACTGCACCAGGCCGCAGGGATCTTCTCCGATTCCACTTGAACTCTATCCCATAGCTCGAGAATGCCTGCAGGGGGGCGGGGGTAAGCAAGCAGCTGCTTCTTCAAGTACACCCACAGATGCTCAATTGGGTTGAGGTCTGGACTTGATGTTGGCCAAGGGAGAACCGAGTAGGGCTGCTCGGCTAGGTAACTTTTCACCATTTTGCATGTATGCTTGGGATCGTTGTCATGCTGGAAAACTACTGCCTCAGGGTCCAACTCATAATGCTCTATTGTCTGCTGCACTTCGTCCTTAAGGATAGAACGGTATAACTCCCCGTTCATCCTCCCCTCTATCTTACACATAAAACCGGCTCCCTGATATGTCATGCACCCCCAAATCATGATCGAGCTGCCGCCATGTTTGACGGTCTGTTTGACATGGTGCGGCTCTATGGGACAATCTCCGCGAATCCAGGCCCAACTACGCCCGTCACTACTAAAACGGCATATCTTCGTCTCGTCACTCCAAATCACCCTTTTCCAATCATTGACCGTCCAATGCTGATGGTCCTTGGCCCACTGGCGGCGGTCCTTGACTGATTTTCTATCGCTTTCACGCAGTGCCGCTTGAGAGTGTTTCGAATGGTGGCTCAAGTGACACTAATGCCGTGCGTCGAAGCTACCATTCCCGCGGCGGCCTCGGCGGATTTCGATTCGCCAGAAACTATCGATCTAACGATAATCCTAGCGATTTGCTCTGGTACCTTGCGTGGGCGACCTGGTTTCGCCGGGGACGGAACTAGTTCCTTGTACGTCTTCGAACCGAGGTGGCGGATGAGCTCGTCATGGACTGCGCTTTTCGAAACGTTCAACTCCTTAGCGATTTGGCGGTAGCTACGCCCCTCGGCAATTAGCTGCATGATACGCTTCTGTTTCTCCGAACTAAGGCGCTTCTTGATGCACGGGTATTAGCGCTACGCAAAGAGCGTCAACGAAGCTCTTAATCACAGGCGTACCTAACTATTCTAGATCTAGCTGCTGCCGAACTGAAGTGCGGGACAAATCGTAAGTATTTGTCCGTGTGGGGTGTCGAGAGGGAAAATAGAGCTCGTTAGAGCGAGTCATGAAATCGGGGCTTTTGGTAACGTTCGCAGTTGGGTACCACTTCAACGCAGCACATGCACGCATTTTCTTTAACACAATACTCGGTAATATTTATAGACGGTGCATATTATTGTACAACTGGAATACATAAGGACAAATATTTGGTTCAGTGTACCTGGGTCTGGTGGCACACACAAGTAACAGTCACCCTCAGCACTAGTAGTCATAGCATACATGGCAGCAAGAATAGCATCATAGTCAAGAGCAAAGATATCAACACCAGCCCTAAGTAGCTCTGCCCAGCAGGGCATCTCAGCCTCATCGCCATACTCAGCGCGCGAAGCGTCGTCTAGGCGGGAGAAACAGTGATGTTGGGTGTGAAACTTCCCGCACGTCTGACCAGCGCGGTCACCTGTGCGAATGACGTACGGGCAGCGAGCACTACCCCCAGACGCCCCACGCTGAGCGTACCACTCACGAAGCTGCTGGGGCGTGAGGATCTCATGCTGACGCTGCTGCTGCTGCTACCGCTGACCGGCTCCAGCCCGACCACCACCACTGCCGCCGCCACTACCCCCTCCGCCGCCACACTACCGCCGCCACCACTCCCACTGCCGCCATGACGACCACCACCAACCCCAGCACCGCCGCCACCGCCGCCACTGACGCCCCCGCTCCCGCCACCACTCCCACCGCCACCTCCGCCACCTCCACCGCCTCCACCACCGCCACCACCACCCCCCCCTCCCCCCCCCTGCCGCCACCCCCACCACCCTTGCCTCCCTTGCCCTTGCCGCTGCGGCGCTTCCCACTAGGAGCAGAAGCAGCACCGACCTCCTCAGCACCAAGGAAGTCGACAGCAGCAGCAGAAGCAACAGAGGGGGCAAGGGGCGAGGGGGAGCACCCCTCTAAGAAGGGCGTGCGGGGAGTGCCACGAGCAGCACCTACAGCGACTATGCTAGTCTCAGCTGCAAGGAGGTGCTTCTCAAGCAGGTCCATAGTGAGGTCTGTGGGGTTAAGGGCGAGAAAGGTGTCTCGGACTGCGCGAAGAGAGTCAGGGAGGCGAGTGACAATAAAGTAGAGAGTGATGTAAATTGGGGGCTCGTTCTTGGGGACAAAATCAGCTGGGAGGGCAGCACGGTAGCGAGCGTCCATGAAGCGAAGGTGAGTGATGAGGTCCTCTACAGTGGCAAAGGAGGACAGCTCGGGAAACAGGTAGGGTAGTATGAGGCGGCCGAGAGCTGCAGTGGCAGGGGAAGAGTAGCGGGCGACTACAGCGTCGTAGAGGGCTTTAGCAATTTTAGGCTGGTCAAAGTGACCGCGTTCGGCTATCGGCAGGTGGTTGCGAACGGCTAGGCGAGCGGCAGCGTCACGAGTAAGCCACTGTGAGCGAGTCGCGCTGTCAGCTGTGTCGGGAGGGGTAGGACAGGCTCCAGACGTGTGGTCAAACATTGAGACATTGTCTTTCGAATCGCTCAGCAGGTACAACTGTAGGTCCTGAAGCCAAGTCTGAAACTTGATAGGACGGCCCTCAGGATTGAACTCGATAACACTGAGAGTGGCTATAACGAAGCAGTGTAGGGTAGCGCGTAGGGCAGGGCAGGGCAGTGCGCGGGCAGAAATTTTAGCGCACGGGCTGCAAGAGGTGACGTGCAGGCAGGCAAAGGCAGCACGCGGGCAGCAGAGGGACGGCGCGCAGGCAAGTAGGAGTGGCGCGCTGCAAGTGAGGCGGCACGCGGGTCTGCACAGGGCAGCGCGTGGGCAGGCAGGGGCGGCGCGCAGCTGGCAAGACAGCGCGCGGGCAGAAAAATAGGCCGCGCGCTGTCAGTAGGGCTGCGCGCGGGCAGGGCAGGGCGTGCGCGGGGCGGCGCGACGTGGGCAGGGCGCGTACGGGCCGCGCGACGGGCAGGGCAGGGCGAACGCGGGCTGCGCGCAGGCTGTGCGACGCAGGGCAGGGCAGGGCGTGCGCGGGGCGGCGCGACGCAGGAGTGGGCGCGCGCGGGCAGCGCGACGCGGGCAGGGCGTGTGCAAGCAGTGCAACGCAGGCAGGGCAGAGCGAGCGCGGGCAGCACTACGCGGGGCAGGGCAGGGCAAGGGAGCGAGATGGGTGGGGCAGTGCTACGGGCAGGGTACGATCGGGTGGGCCCTAACGAGAACAGTCCTCGAGCAGGACCTGCTCTGGTACTTTGTTAGAAACTAGAAGGAATCAGATGAACTAGGAAGGGTTGGGATACAAATAGAAACCCTAGAATGTGTTGTACCTCATGCAAGCTACCCTACTACAGCCTACAAACAACAAGCAACATAATAGTTTGACAATGTTAGGCTACGGTGAGGCACATTCTAGGGGGTATAATAAACTGATGTTTCTATTTTATATACCAAACCTTGTTGTTGTTGTTGTTTTTTTTTTGTTTTTTTGTTTTTGTTTTTTTTTAACCGGAGTTCCAAACAGCCCAAAACTGCCTCAACCTTCCCAACTTTGGTTGGGCATAATCTGGCAGATAACAGTCAACATCACAATTGTGGAAACGATTTTCACAATCCGAAATCACTGTACTTACAATGACGAAAACAGTGCTGATTTCGCCCAATAAAGTTTCTGTTACTCCGAAATTGTACGCCAAGGGGTTGACGAGTTGCATTTGGGATCTCGTAACTCTCGCGACAGTAAGTATATCACTCAGCGACATGTGGCTTCCTATTTCGACACCACCCTAGTTCGCGAGCCAATTGGAACTCTTTTCCCTACCAACCAACCTTCCTAACTTCAAAACCTATAAGACTCCGGTTTTAAGACTCGCGACCCGACCACACGCTTCGACGTCTTCCAACCTCGGAACTAGGCCCGTAACGACACCCCTTCGCCAGCGCGTTACTGTTACCATTTATTTCGCTATTTAACAATTTGCTCAGGCCTTTGTTCATTTTCGTGTGTTGTTTTCGTGTGTTTCGCCCGAGTAATATTTCATAAATACTGAACTTGAAAATCTGTTTGCGAACTTAGACGAGTGTTCAGTTCGCCTAATGAGGGTGGCGAAGAGTGACGGGCGCGGAATGAGACCCAGCAAACTGTTTCAACATTTTCGAGTTCAAGAGACTTGAACGCTGCACAAGGGACAAAACGAGATGCACTGAGTCTGACGCGTCACAGTTCCGATGCAAGGCCCGAGAGGGTTGTGCGGGTGATTGACAAGAAGTACACAAGTCTCTTTCAACACTTATGTCTGTTGTAACGACTTACGTTTAGAAAAATGTACCACTAATACCTTTGGGAACTGTTGGTGATTGACTGGCAATAACATCAAGTACTGTGTGGTGTGTGAAGAATGAGGAATGGTTGAACTAGGAAAATGTTGGATACAAATGTGAAACCCTAGAAACCTGTACCCCTTAGTGTCTACCCCACTAGAGCCTACAAAGACTAAGTCATATATAGCATTCTGACACACCCCCATAGGCAAAGTGGGGGAGAACTAGAGGTCACAAGACCAGTCAAGCAAAGCAAGCTCAGGGTGGATCACAACGTCACCACACATTCCGAGCACCGGTTCAAGGCCACAAGGCCTGTTTACATGCAGGGTTATATATAAAGGTAAACAAGCAAGAGCAGGTATATATAAATCACAGTACAAGCAAGGTCAAGAAGTGAGCAAGTGAGGCCAAGTAGGCACAAGACCTAGCATCGTACAAAAGCGCTGATGATCACAAGGCTGAAGTGCCTTGGTAAAGATATCAGCAGTGTTGGCCCGAGAGGCCACGTAAGCAAGGCGCAGCTGACCACGCAACTGCAGCTCACGAGCAAGGAAGTAGCGAAGAGCAATGTGCTTCGTTCTGTGCTCCAGTCTGTGCTCCCGACACAAGGCCAGCATGGCCTTGTTGTCTACGTACAGAACTGGAGGAGAATGAGGCGGCTCTCCCAGGTCAGTCAGCAGGTAGGTGAGCCAGCGTAACTCCTGTGCAGCCATGGCCCCTGCGTAGATCTCAGCCTCACAGCTAGAGCTGAGAACAGACGACGAGCGGGTAGACCGCCACGAAACAGAGCCGGAACCAAGGCTGAAGGTGTAACCCTGTGACAACCGCTGCGTAGCCAGGTCGTCGACCCAAGACGCGTCTGCGTGACCAGTGAGGACCACTGAACTCCGCCCTCCAAGCACGAGCCCCATGCCCGACGTACTGCACAAGTAGCGCAACACCCTCTTCGCTGCAGCCATGTGCTCTGGTCGGTGTCTCCCAGGAGCAACATAGCGTGCCAAGATGCTAAGAGGGTATGCAAGGTCAGGTCGAGTGCAGGTCATCAGGTACATGAGGCAGCCAACAAGCTCTGGGTACGGGCCACTCGGCTCTACGGACTCATCCGAAGGCAGAGCTGAGAGCGAGTGGCGAGTAGACAGAGGAGTGGCCTGAGGCGAGGAGTACGTGAAGCCGAAGCGCTGAAGGACCTGCTGCACCATGTGTGACTGAGTCAGGGTAATGGTGCGCCGTGCTCTGTCCCGGGTGATCTGCAAGCCGAGGTAGCTGCGCAGTTCACCCAGGTCTGTGCACGTGTGTCTCTTCTGCAGCTCGGACTTCACGTGGGCGAGTCCAGCAGTGTCAGCTGTAGCAAAGACCAAGTCGTCGACGTACACGAGGATGTAGAACGGCGGCAAAGAGGTGTCGGTGCGTAGAAATAGCGACGGGTCGGCAGTAGAAGGAGCAAACCCAAGAGCCGCAAGTGTAGTCCTCAGTGTGTCGTGCCACTCACGTGGCGCCTGTTGAAGACCGTAGACTGGCCGCCGGAGGCTCCACTGGGTACCAGGAAGAAACGACCCAGTGAAGCCAGGAGGGCGGCGCAGCCAGATCTCCTCGTGCAGGCTGCCCTGTAGGAAAGCTGTGCTGAAGTCAAGAGAGTGAAGCTCGTAGTCGCGCTGAGCGGCTATGTGCAGCAGCACCCGAAGAGTGGTCATCTTCGGGGTGGGAGAGAAGGTCTGAAAGTAGTCAACTCCCTGCCGCCGACTGAAGCCTCGAGCCAGGCGGAGAACCCGGCGGCCGCTTCACCCTGAAAATCCACATGCCACTGACGATGTTCGCCCTAGGTGGGGGAACCTCGTCGACGTAGGTGCCTGTGGACTTCCAGGAAGCCATCTCTGCGTCCATGGCTGACTGCCACTGAGAGGAGTAGGGACCCTCTATCGCCTCTGCGTAAGAGCGCGGAGTCGGGATGTCAGCTGCATCCGGGTCTCCCTCAGGGGCAACCAGCATGGACACGAGATGAGGTAAAGCAGCAGCAAAACACTGGAACTCCTCCTGCCTGTCCTCAAGGACGTCCGTGCTAAGAGCACACTCACCCCCGATGGACGGAGGACAGACAGACTCAGACTCAGCAACGAGACTAGCAGCGTAGTCTAGACGACAGGCAGCAGCAAAGTCAACAAGCTCAGCAACCAAGGCAGACGCAGTAGTAGACTCAAACGACGGGTCAGTGACAACAGTGGCTAACAGACGCGTGACAGTAGGGTGCTCAGCACGAAACCTGTCAGACTCAGGGTCCGGAACGGCAGGCAAAGAGGACGCAGGGGGAGACGGCAGAGGAACAGGCTGCGGAGCAGAGGAAGGACGACGGACTACGAGGTGTGCGCTGGGGACAGCCGGCTGACGCGAACGAGGAACACGACGACCGGTACGACCAGAACGAACAGGCGAGACAGGACGCGACGCAGGCTCACGACGCTCAGCAAGACTACCAGTCTGCACAGTGTAAGGAGAAGGAGCAGGCAGCGGTGAGCCAGGCTGTAACGGAAGACTAGTAGACGACGGGAGAGTAAGAACCTGACGAAGAACAGAGTCAGGCGGCGGTAGAGACGACGGAGACGGCGGAGCGAAGAACAGTCGTGTCGGCGCATCTGCACCAGCCCCAGCAGCTCCAGTAGCTCCAGTCCCAGAACCGGCACCTCCAGTCCCAGGGTCTCCAGCCTCAGTGCCATCAGCAGCAGCACCCCCAGACGCAGCACCCCTAGCCCCAGCAGCTCCAGTACCTCCAGTACGAGCACCTCCGGGACCAGCGACTCCAGCACCTCCAGTAGACAAAGGACCAGCACCACTCCTAGCTCCAGGGACGTCAGCAGAAGTACCTCCAGCAGCAGAGCCCCGGGCTCCAGCAGCGCGACCCTGACGGCGACCGTACCAGTCGTGCAGCTGCTGTGAGGTGAGAGGCACACGTGGACGAAGGCGGCTACTCCAAGGAGACCGCGCACCAGCAGTCCCAGTACCCTCAAGCGTCTCACCTCCAGACTCAGCACCCCCAGACTCCGCACACACAGGCTCAGCACCCCCAGACACAGCACCCCCAGGCGCAGGACCTCCAGTCTCCTCACGCGCAGGCTCAGCACCCCCAGACTCCGCACCCCTAGGCTCCGCACGCTCAGGGCGGCAGCGCGGTAGGGGAAGAGACGGTAGTACGGAACCGACTCGTC